CGAATATTGATATTCAAATATCGAATTTAGACGAATATTGATATTCTAATATCGAATTTAGACGAATATTGATATTCTAATATCGAATTTAGACGAATATTGATATTCTAATATCGAATTTAGACGAATATTGATATTCTAATATCGAATTTAGTAACCAATTTTATACACTTCTATCAATAATAACATATCCATTCCAATAATAAAAGAACAATTAATTAGTGTTAATGTTTAAAAATAAAAATGGAAATAGAAAATATCGGCATGCGCCATTATTTACACGTTTTACACGATAAATTGTTCTACGTAAATAGTGTTACATAAATTTGTTGAACATTACAAATCTGAAAATTATTACAACGAATTTCATTATTACTATATTTGCAAATTAAATAAAGCGTACGTACAAATGTACCGACATGTGGACATTTCCCCGCCAATGTTGCATAACTTTATATAAAAACAGACAATATTTTATTACATATTTGGGAATCTACTGTAAAGCCTTTCCAAAGAATATATAAACGATTCTCCTAATTTCTGTCGTTCAAACCTACCTTAAAAAGAAAATTTAGTTCGAAAATGATGATAGTAATAACATATAAAAAATTGTTTTTAATCATTTATATTTTATTCTACCTAATAAATTTTTGTAAAATTTCATCAGCTAACAAACTCAGAAAGCGTGATCTTACATCATGTCTTGTTGATGTACAAGGCAAAAAAGTATATCCAAGTGATCCAGAGTATAATAGCGACATAATAGATGAAAATTCTCGTATAATGTTTAGCCCATCTGTGATAATACATGCTAACATAGTGGCAGATGTTCAATTTTCTGTGTTTTGTGCAAGTACACTTAATATGAGCATTTCGGTTAGATCGGGGGGTCATTCCTATGAAAAATATAGTACTGCAGGTGCAATAGTCGTAGATATTACGAATTTGAACAAAATTGACATAGATTTAGCAGCAAAAACTGCTGTCATCGGTGCCGGGAATAGATTAGGTCCTATTCATTACGCTTTGAGCCAAGCTGGCTTCTTAATTCCAGCTGGAACTTGCCCAAGTGTTGGAATAGGTGGACATGCATTAGGTGGTGTGAGTAATTATTCTTATATTATCCATTAAAAGTTGAATAATCTAGTAATGTCAAAAAATCCTCGGTCCTGTGATTTCTGAACTATTTAACAACATGGTCGTACGATATTGATATCACGAAACCAAGGATTTTTTCTGACCAAACTAAATTTACAATGCATTTTTTTCATGTTTTTACATAATTAATGAAAACTATAGGGATATGGACTAATTGGAAGAAAATATGGACTCGCGTTAGATAGCATCATTTCTATGGACCTTGTTGATGCTACCGGACGTCTGATCACTGTAACTGCCGATAAGTATACGGATTTATTTTTTGCCCTCCGTGGAGCTGGGTCTAATAACTATGGAGTAGTTACTTCTTTTACATTTCGAATTTATCCTGCTCTTCCTAAAGTCACATCTATATCATTAAAATATGATCTTAACAAGATTCAAACTCTTTTTGATGCAACTAAACAACTTGGTCCGACGCTTCCTGATGATATATCATTCTCGATAGTTATAGATAACGGTTTTGTAGAATTTCAAGGTGTTTATCTAGGATCACAATCGAGTGCAACGCAAGTTATGAGCCAATTTATTTCACTTTCACAACCAACTTCGAATCAATTTACAGAGGAAAGTTTTTTCGATAGCGTTGTAAGATGGGGATTTCAACAAGAAAGTGGCACAATAAATCCATATCATAGTCCCAGTAAATTTAAAGCAAAGTCTTTCTATGTAAAATCTTCTGGACTTTCAGCAGAGGGTGTTCAATCGCTTGTGAATTTTATGAAAGGTCTTCCCACCGCATGTCCAACATATGCAGTATTTGATTTATACGCTGGTGGTGCGGCAGCTAGAATTGCAGAAAATGCTACTGCGTTCGTGCATAGGAACGTATTTCATTCGATTGAATTATTTACAACTCTGAATGGTGATAATACGACAAACACACAATGTTTTAATCAGTTAAATAGTTTTGGTGAAATTTTTCAGTCGAATTATACTGATTATAGTAGTTATCAGAATTATATGGATCGAGATTTAACAGATTGGCAGCATAGATATCACGGCAGTAATTTGCCTGCATTAATTGCTGTAAAAAAAATATATGATCCTAATAATGTATTTGGATTCGTTCAAGGTATTCCTTTGGCTTAGCGGATAATTCAACATAACTATATGAGATTATTATTATACTATCAAAATTAAAAAGATTATATTAATTACAATGCTAATACAGTAAATTTTACAAAAAGTTAATGTCAAACTCAGATAAAAACTTAATAGTATTTAAATTTCAATTTGTAAAGTTATATAACATTGTTTGTTTGGATACTTTCGTTATTCTTTCTGTTGACTTAATCATGACATATCGATATATTGTTGATTAGTATCTTGCGAAATATAAGCATTTATTTGATTCTTGTTTCTTAATCATATAAACAATAATTATTGCAATAATTATTGCGACTGTTGATAATAATATAATCCTTGCAATTTCGCAATTACTTCAATAATAGTATTTGGTGCAGGTTGAAATGATTTGACAGGTACATAAGTTGTTTCCCATTTATAGTTGTCATAATGACTTACATCAAGTGGAAAAAATCAGCCGATCCTAATACATAATTATCACTGTTTTCAAAATAGTGAAAATGGCAAATAATTTTTTTTTAGCGTATACTCGTACACCCATAGGAAGACTTTCGTATGATTGGCTGTTTAAATCAATTTAATTTTACATTATTTATACAGTTTAGAATGCTTTTAAAAAAATAAAACTATGAAGAATAAACAAAAAGAAGTATATAGAAAAGTTTTATTAGAGTTGTAGGATCCAATATTAAAAATAATCAAAATCATTTCTGGTTTTAGAGAAGTTAGCATGGTAATAACTAGGGTTGCAGGTGAATTAAAATTCTAATGGTGCATCACTTTTCACCAATCACCAATCACCAATCAGCACTGGTGATACTGGTGTTACTGGTAGTATTGGTGATACTGGTGGCACCGGTGGTGCTGGTGATACTGGTGGTGCTGGTGATACTGGTGATGTTGGTGATAATAATGTTTAATAACTTCAATTTCTATCGTCGTTGATGAGATGTTCTTGACAAAAGTAATTTAATTTTTTAATAATGAGTAGAACATCATCGAATTGCTAGACCAGATGACTTTATGAATACATGCTTAGAATGAGCTTTAATGGTTTGCTGTGTTAGTCTTGCTTGATCAGGTTTTTCTTGGTTAAGTTTATGATCGTTAAGTGGTGAACAGATATGAATGTTAACAAATTAGTGCTAAAGTAAAGGAGTATTTTCATATTGTTTCAAGTGTGAATCAAATTGGCGGGATGGAGAGAAAAAGTGTAATGTAGTGTATTTATGGGTGATTTTTTTAGTAAAAAAAAGTTTAGTTTAAATACTTGATGGTTGACTTGTGTAACAAGCTTAATGTTAGGCAGTAGTGTGTAAAGACCTAGTTTTGTTTTAGTTTTTTTTTATTTTTGTAACTATGAAGCTCTGTGGCTGCTGCAATAGTACAAAAATTTTGTTTTTATAGCAATTAGGCTCTAAGGCTGCAGTAGTACAAAGATTTTGTTTTTATAATGTTTTTGTAGCAAGTAGCAGTACAAGAACCTTGGCAGTTAGGCTTTATAGCTGCAGTAGCAGTGCAAAGACCTTGTTTTAGGCTCTATAGCTATTATAATAATGTATAAACCTTTGCTAAATAGGTTGCAGATTCCATAGCTGAAATAATAGTGCAGTGTATTTAAAAACCTAGTTTACTTCTAGTTACCATAACTAAATCCTGTATATGCATAAACTTTACTGATATTGATTATTTTGCATTTAATGTATAGTCCAATTAATTGAGATTTTGTGAAAAATACATCACTAAAAATACTATATGAATCATAATTTTATCAGTGCTAAAATAATTTCATCATCAATTTATAGTAGCTGCATAGCATATGTGCCATGCAGGATCATTATAATCACATATCTAGATATTTTACATTTATATGATAAACATTTAATCCATACTCTGAGTAGATTATATAGTAAAAGGTGTATTATCTAGGGTATTAGTAAAGAGAATATATTAACCTATTATGACAAAACTTCTATATCTTTAATTATAGTAATACAAAAATTCTAGGCTAAAGACTCTAAAATTCTTAGTCCAGTCCTAATACAGTTACAGGATTCTGAAATATAACAAATGCACTATGCAATAGTTATGCTAAAATCAGGAATGTAATGCAATTAAATATAATCAAGAATATGCCTTGTGCAAGATAATAAATTTCATAAATTATTACTGTCAAGGAAAACTTCAACCTGGAAATTTAAATTTATTATTATTATAGCAGAAATAGATGATATAGAATATCACAAAATATATGAGAATATTCTATAGAATAGGTGGGCAAACTCCACCAACTCCACAACTCTGATATTAAAAAATTAATGATTACTAATCATTAGTAAAACTTATTTCTTATATTGCCCACCTATTCTATAGAACATCAAAATTGACAAAAGATTATTGATTAGTGCATTTATATTTATGCAATAATTTTTTTAGTTTATTTATAATAAAGCCTTTATAAATGCATATGCTTGAGACCAAATATTGAATTATAACAAAAAGTGTATTTATAGAAGTTATTTACAATAAACCAGTTTTATCAATACAATATTATGTATTAGTTTTACAATATTACCAATTTCACTAATATTACCAGTTTCACCAATATCACCAATTTACCACTTTACCATTTTTACTAATGTTACCAGTTTCACCAATATCACTAGTTTTACCAATATTACTAGTTTCACTATTTTATTTTTTTAAAATGTACTATAGTGCACCAGTTTCACCAATTTATCTGATATAATTAACTAGTTTCACCTGCAACTCTAGTAATAACCTAATTTTATTTATCTTTAAGAAATCACTATTATACTAACTTCTCTAAAACCAGAAATGATTTTGATTATTTTTAATAGTTGAGTCCTACAACCCTAATAAAACTTTTTATATACTTCTTTTTTTGTTTATTCTTTGTAGGTTTATTTTTTTTAAAAAGTACTTTAAACTGTATAAATAATGTAAAATTAAATTGATTTAAATAACCAATCATATGACTTGTATACTTGTACACTCATACACTCAATTATATCAGCCAGTACAATTTTTATAGCACTACAAGGTTATAAAAATGTTATAAAATTTTTTATATAGACTTACAAACCTAATGTAGACGTATTTAGTTAGAATTCTTATATATAATTAAATATAATATTTATATAAACATAAAATTTATATAAATTTTATTTATATCCACATAAAATAATTTAATCTACTTTAGCTATTTCTCAAAAGTAACTAAGGTAATAACTACTCGATGTATAAGTAAAAATACTCTGCATCTCGAAAACCTTCTTCAAACTCCTAAAATTAAATTTTAGCTTCAATATTTAATTTAAAATTTTTTTGCAATTTTACGTAATTCTATATAAAAATAGATATTTAAAAGTATATAAATACAGTAACTATGTAAATCTATATTAGGTTTATAGATTCAATAAAAATTCTATATAACTTTATATAAATTTGCATGGATCTATGTAGCTAAAGCACATATTTTTTTCATAGTTTTACCAGCTGCCCTTGTGTCAAAAGTGCGTTAGAAGTACATTGAACGTAACCCGGGTTTACATAAGGAGAGCATCTTCCTGCGTTGCGAACATAAAGTAAAATTTCTAATTATATAATATAATTGGAAATTTTACTTCATGTTCGCAATGCAGAAAGATGCTCTCCTTATGTAAACCTGGGTTATGCTTGACGTACTCCTAATGCAAAGGCAGCCAGTAAAACTACGAAAAAAACCTGTGCTTGTAGCTGATTGAAGATCGGTGTCCAATTTCGTGTTATTTTTCATAAAATCGGGCATCGATCTTAAATCAACGTGCTAAGGTAATCGTGTATACAGGTGTGTAAGTGTACGAGTGTATAAAAAAACTATTGCCATCTTCAATCATTTCGATAATATAAAGTCCTAGCCATGAAGATTTGAAATAAGTAATATTAAGTTATTGTTTTTTATTCGACATATATAATAAATTCATACTGAATGCAATAAGAATATAAGATCCGATTAATGTAGAAGTATGATGTGTCAATATTTGTCTAGGACCACCAGAATTTGAAATCTCAAGAATTGACCAGCCAAATGTTAAAGTATCAAGTGCATTAATTGAAATATCGCTATTAGTTCCATAAAATAATAAAATTCTATTATGTTGAGCTATGTAATTAATAAAATTATATTAAAATAAAATAGACTACTGGAACCCGGATTAAAATGATATATAGTAAATTCTGGTCATCCAAAGTGTCATTCTTGATGTATGATTATTGCGATCAAAGAACAATAGTAAAATAAGCAAATTTTATTAGTTATGTAATGCTATTGTTTTTATTAATATATTACTTTTAATTTAAATAGATTAAAACTGATATTTTGGCCCTGACTGGAACGTGTATTGATATAATTAAAAGTGAAAGGCAATTTATAACTTATAGCCATTCTCAATGAATTATCACGTGTTTTGAAATTGAAACTAGTAACTAAATAAATTAAGTAAAAAAAAACAGTATTTAATTAATATGTGAATGCAGTTTGGCAAATAATACTTTTTATAAGTTTCTCTAATAGTTTGTACACTAAAGCTACTGTAATCAAATATATATAAAAATAAATTTCATAAGTGGAAGTTTCCTTAATTTAAACTAAACATAAGTTAGCAAGCCTTATTTTTATTGTTGTATTCAATCAAATTTTAAGCGACGAAAACATAAGAAATATATCTGGAGTACTTTTGCCAGTATTACTATAATAATTTCTTGTTATCTGCCAGATAACTAGTTTATCTGGCAGGCACTATGTATACACGGACGTTGTTAGCAAAATTAGCTAGCAAATTTAGCTAGTGAAATTAGCAAATTTAGCAAAATAGCAAAATAAAGATAAACTTGGATAATTCGCGATAATCGTGATAAAAGTTTTTTAATTAAAGACCTTCATATCTCCACTTTACTTAAGTACATATATACTGTATATAAGCACAATTTATTGACTTGAAAAATGCAACTATATTTATATTCTATTCATCTAAATTTATATTGCCTTTGTTAAAACCATGTTCATTAAAATATAAAAAATTTAATCTAGCTATATTTTTTTTTATTAAGATTCCTTCATCTATCATCCAAAATATACTTGTAGTTTGAAAATAAACATTCTACATCTACTGCTGAAATGGGAATCCAAATATAATCTAAAGTGATTTTTGAAAGAATAGGTAAGGTAAATACTTTGTCTTTCCAAAATTGTTTTAACCTAGACTCAATATTGATCTCAAAACTCTCTACTATATTACAATACATATTTCATTCATTACTTAATTGACTTGAGGGGTTTTTAAATTCTAAAATATTTGAATAAGTTGATAAATTATGTCTTAAAATATTATCACGGATAAATTGAGGGTTAAAGCATTGAATATTTTGAAAAAGTGGCAACACATTATGCTGATCAATATGCTTTCCAAATTTTATATGTGCAAACTTAAATGCTTCGCCAAAAATCTCCTTAAAATAATTAAAATTTAACTGGTTTTGATTTATATAGGTAATCATTTCATCTGAGAATGGTGGTGTGGTTATTCTATTTTGAAGTATTTTTTGCATTCTTTGAATTCATGAGAAAACAAATAGTGCAACAGGTGTATTTCTGGTTTGAAAAAAATCAAGATCGTGTATTAAACTGTATATAAAAGTATATATTAGATATATATTTTTTTTTTCTAATTCGGCTATCCTGCCCTTGTTTATTTAGGATTAAGTTATTCAAAATTACAAGTAATTTATCTCTAACTAAAGTAGATCTAACCAAACAAAGAACTCACCTACGTGATTTTATACACCAGGTGCGACCTGCCTCAGTAGCTCTTGGCCTCCCTCAGGGTCCTTAACTCACTAAGGACTTTTTTCCTGTTGTTCATCGGCTGGCGGCTACCTGCTCATCAAGAAGCAAAATCAGAAAATAAAACAAACAAACTAAAAAAAAAACACAGAGGTATAGGGGAATACGATAAAAAAATACAGAATACGAAAAAAAAAGGGTAAAAAAATATCGAAAAAAAACAAAAACAAAACAGAAATTTGCTAATCTTAATGTCACAGTTATCAGCCTGTGGGTGGCTTTGAAAAATTATATACTGACTAAACAAATTAGTCTCTACTTCTATTTTTCTCTAAACTAATATGCGAAAGTAAAAACCTGATAGGAAAAACTTCATTGACTGGCTTAAGATAAAGAGGTCAGAACAGAGTCTCAGAGTATCATTTATACAGATATCTATTGCATTCGAAGCATGTGTATATACGTGTTTGTTATCAGGTTCCAATTTGGGAGATAAACAATGCTGACTTGTTTGGTACACGTGATGTCGATCATTTGGAGGAGTAAGCTAAAACACCCACTTTTTACAAAAATTTCCTCGAAAAAAAGTGGTGGGCCAACGAGAGTATGTGAAGTTCTTCTTGTAAGTTTTACGGTTGTATAGACTAGCTTCTCCATTTCTATCACTTAGGAGTGCACTTTTGGCTACTTCTACAGACTTGTTTCTAGAATAAACCTTCTGATTTGGATGCTAAATACTTTGGTGAGTCCATTAGAAAGAAACTTGACCCCAAAGAAAACCGTCCGTTCTTTTTGGCACCCACTCCTCGGTATTTCATGCCTAGACAGCTTAGACTTTGTCGACAACAAGCTGCTCCTACTTATAGAACCAAGTTTTAGTATTCACTTCGTCACTTTTCTATACGTTTTGCTATAGTTCGGTTTTTGTTGTTGTTGATCAGAGGATCGTTAGAAAGAATTGACTATATATTAGTTTTATTATATACACATTTTTTTGTTTTCTATTATCACATTTTTTTCTTTTTTTCTTCTCTATGAAAAAGTGTCATCAGTTTTGCAGCATTCTATTGTAAAACAGGGATCTTGATAGGCAGCATAACAGCCAGCTGAGAAATCTGAGAAAAATAAGTTTAGAGTAGGTTTTGAATCTTTAGAAAAGATTAATCATTTGCTAGACAGGTTGTATTTAGGCAAAATACTGTGATTTAATGGTTCACACTGACTGCAAGTGGATGTTACAACATCTACAAGATACACTATGAGTGAGTTTATCTTTTGGTCAGAAATACTATAGATTTAGATTTCTTCACATATTGATGTAAGAATAAAAGTCTGTTCTTATAATAAAGTAAACAGAATTGCTAAAGGAAAAAAATATATTTTTTTAAATTAGCTAATCAGAATTGACTTATATAGAGAAGAGATAAGTACTTCTATAGTAAAATAATATTATATAATTTTATTTTTATTTTAGTTTTTTTACTTAAGCAAGATCGCGTTAGTGACACTGTTTATTAAAGTCATCATCTCATGGAAAATGCAAAACAATAAAACTTAAGTCCTGACATTCTATGGCTACTTCACCTTCGAGTGCCCATAGACAACCTGCCGCATTGGCGAGATATAAAATATACCCTAACCAGAGGATTCGTCCAACCACCACCCTACAATAGGATATCATCAATCTGATAACGTTTTATAGAGAAGTAAAAGAAAAAGAAAAAAATTTTAAGAAACACAGAGGTATAGAAGAATACAGTAAAAAAAATACAAACAAGAAAAGAATGGGGTAAGGGAAAAACGAAGAAAAACTAAACTAAATATAGGCTTTTTTATCTACACCAGATAGTCACAATTATAAGCCTGTGTCAGGCTTTGTAAATTACATACTACTATTTAAACTAGTCTCTACTCTAATCTACATACATAGTATATCTAAGATAAGAAAAAAAACTCTGTGACAAGGTAAAAAAATATAGCTTCTTTGACGTTAGCACCATATAGAGGTCAGAAAGGTCAGAAATTTGCACCAGAGGTCTCAAGTCATTGTTTGTCCAGGTTGCTACATTCGAAGCACGTAATCTATATGTCTAGTTCTATAAGATCTATGTGTTTGTTGTAATAGGTAAAAATGTAAACAATGTGACTAATTTGGTAAGTAAACAATATGTCAATCTTTTGAAGGGGATAAGCTAAATCGTCCACTTTTTATAAAATTTTTCTCCAAAAAAAAAAGTGAGGAATAATGAGAGTATATGAGGTTCTTCTGTAAGTTTTACAGTTGTATAGGCAATTCTTCAAGTTTCTACTATCTCAGCGAGAGTCTTTTGACTACTACTTGTTCCCAGAATAGACCTTCTGGTTTGGATGCCAAATAACTTAGGGAGTCCATTCAATAAATTAGCAAAAAAAACTTGACCCTAAGAAAAACCGTCCAAGTTACGCCCGCTTCTTAGTATATCACGTCTCTTAAACTTCGTTGACAACAACCTGCACAAAGGTAAAACAGTTTCCAGAATATCCTTCTAGTTTGGATGCCGAATAACTTAGAGAGTCTACACAAAAAGTGAAAGGTTTGACTCCAAGAAAAACCGTCCAAAAAATGCCTGCTCCTCGGTGTTTCATGTCTTTAGACTTCATCAACAACTGCTTTACTCTAAGATAGGACTAAAAAGTATCTGTTTTGGATGTTTCTACTGTATATCATTTTTTTGTAGTTCAGTTTTTTGTTGTTGTTGTCCAGAGGATCGTTGGAAAGAGTTCAATCATAAAATAATATTATATAATATCTGTTATTGCCCTTATTATTAATATAGGTATTTAAAAATTTTTAAAAACTTTAATCAAAAATATTTTAGCAATTAATTGTCAAAAATCAATAAACTTTTTTTATTTAAATTCTACAGATTTATAGTATTTAAATAAAAAAGTTTATCAATTTGGTCAAGTGGTTGCTAAAATATCTTTAATTAAAGTTTTGATACAAATATTAGCACAATTATTGTAATATAGGCATTTTAAAAGTTTTTATAAACTTTGAAGATATTTTAGCAACTATATAACCAAAATCAATAAATTTTTTTATTTGAATTCTACAGATCTGTAAAATTCAAATAAAGAAAAGTAAATTAATTTTGGTTTAATAATTGCTGAAATATCTTTAATCAAAGCTTTGATACAAATATTATTAAGTAATACAGTCGTGCTCTTATATAATCACCTAATTTACCTATCACTTTTTGGTGATTATATAGAGGAGTGATTAAATAGAAATACTTCTATATAATCACATAATATAAACTAATATATATAATGTAATTTTAAAAAAGTAATTAAAAAACAGAAGAAACTGTCAATATTATACAACTAATTCAATATATATTGCAATTGTATGCGCATTATACTATATAAATTAAAACTATATGTAGTCATATAATAAAATTTTGTAATGAATATTTTTAAATAACAATCAATAGGTAACAATTTTATAGTAATTATTACAAAACTTTAAATAGATGCACAGCTCTAACAGTTTGATAATTTGGAATAAAATTTTATAAAGACCAGTATTGCATCTCTACAAACAAAGCTATAGAGCTATTTCTTTTATTTAAATAAGAAAAATTTTAATATAGTGTGTTATTTTTTTCTTAAAGAAAAGGCAGTAAGAAGAGATTTAAGTTAGTTTTTCTTTTAAAAAAAATAACTTTATAGCTTTGTTTGTAGAGCTGCAATGCTGATCTTTATGAAATTTTATCCCAACTTATCAAACTATTAGGGCTGTGTATCTATTTAAAGTTTTGTAATAATTACTATAAAATTGATTGCTATTAAAAAAATATTCATTAAGAAAATTTATTATATGATCACTATATAGTTTTGATTTATATAGTATATCGCACACCCCAATGTTGTACAGTTCAGACAAATATAATCCAACAAGTTTGCCAGGGCAATCTAAAAGTCCAGATCAGCTGATCTGCACCATAGCCACTGCATAATTTCTTAAAAAAATTATTGAATCATTTAGTTCTATACAGCTTTATTGTTTTAAACACTATATATAACAAAAGCATATATAAATATATACGTATATACAAGTTATTAAGATATGGCAGTGGCATATAGATCAGTTGATCCAGACTTTTGGGGGTTGTTCTAGTGGCTTGTGCTTTTTAATATAGTGCTGTTCGCTGAAAGATATATAAAAAAATCACTAAGTAAAATTTTCCTATTCTAGTTTATCAATTTATCTAAGTACTTTGTTGCTTATTAAACTATTTAGAATTTAATAACATAGTAAAGGATAATATAAATGCAATAATAAATATTGATTTAATTTGCATGTAGTCTTTAAATTGCTTTTTTTATAATATTTATTATTGATCAGTAAAATTATATCAATTAAAATCTGATATACTTCATTTTATAATTTTAAAGCCATGTATATCAAATTTGAAGTGACGTCTAACATTTATTTAAAAAACATTTACTAAAATCCTTACTAAAAACCCTAAAAATTGCTTCAACTACATATTATCATAAAACTCAATCAAATATTAATGAGATACTGAAAAAATTTCTGGATGCTAATTCGGTTTATAATATTAGTATAATAATTTTACATTAATTACAGTTATAGGAAGGCATGTAATTACCAAAGCTTGAGATAAAAATAATGTGCTAAAAAAACACAATTCTGAGAATTAAAATCAAAAAGTTCAAAAACCAATAATCAAAATTTTACTTTTTATCAAACTTAATTTGACTATAAGGTTTTAATCGATAATAATTCATATTGTTCAAAATTTTCATATTGTCTAGTAACAAAATAATATTGCCAAACAACAACTAACTAAAAAAATTTTTTAAAAAAAACAGGAAAAAAAACTCTGTTATAAACAAGTAAAAAAAAAAAAAAAAAAAAAAAAAAAAAAAAACTGCTATCAATCACAAACAGGTAAAAAAAAATTAGTAATGGATTTTTGTTTTAGCATTTAATATGTTTTCTTTTCATTAATAATAAGTATTTTTTAAAAACCTTCAAATCCTCTACATTGAAATCACGGCTTTCTTGCTATTCAAAAAAACTGATAAATTTTTTAGACTATCTAAACCTTCAAAAATAGAAATTTTAGGTAGTAAAACATCAGTATCATTTGCATCACTCTTTTCAAACTCTCATTGTTTATCTAAAACAATATTAACAATTTGATCTTTATCAAGAATGTCTTTAGTAAGTATTTAAGAATCATAGTTACTGTTAAATTTATTTAACTGGCATTCGATTGTTAGATCTGACAGATTTGTTGTTAAGTCTATAATTAATTCGTCAACATCATCCTTTTTTAACTCTGTCAAATCTTGAATGGCAAAAATAGTATTATCAATTTCGGTATCTGATAATAGGAAGAGAATCTCTGTTTTTTCTAGCAATTTATGATGGTTGTTTCTTCAACTTTATCCTATGATTCTGCAACATAATATATTGCATCTTTGATATTTAATTTACTCCTGTGCAAATAAAGGTGTATCAGTAAATTTTAATTTTATAGAGATTAAAAATTAGAAATCAATGTTGTAAGCCAAGCTAGAAAAACTTAATCCTACAATGCTACCGCAAATGGGTATATAAAAAATCTATTTACTAGTAGAATTGGATCTAAAGTGTGAATTATAATTTTTTTAAATATATAACTAGATGGTTTATTAAAAATAAAGAGTGCAAATGATGCAGAAAATTTAAAAATCTCAATCCCTCTATATAGAAATAATGCATAAACTGGTAGTATATGAAAATAAATTTCTTAAATTATCAATCTAAATAGAGTGAATAAGAAATTTTAGTCAATAATTTAAGGAATATTTGTTTTAATGTACTTAATATACATTAACTCTAGAAATTGTAGTTTTTAAAATTCTGCTTGGTGAAATCAAAATATAATGTATAATCCAAAAATTTTAAACTATTGATTTCAACAAAGCTTAGAGGATATTTAACTTTACTATTTATATTTTGTCTTCATAAAAAGTAATTGTAATTTTCAGATTTCTTGCACCATATGTACTTTAAATTTTTCTTTCACAATATAACTAAAAATGTAACAGACTTGGCTTCTATATATACCCATTTATGTAATTGAATATTTATTACAGAGTTCTATGAATTTATAAGATAATATAAAATAATATTTAAGTACAGTGGTATGATAGATAAATATAGTAGTAGATAATTTTTAAACTATATATATACGTACATAATTAATATATTAATGCATATGAACTTTAATTATATAATCAAACTGGGGTACAGTATGCAGACTTTTGTATGATTGGCTGTTTCAGTCTACTTAATTTTATGTATATACATACTTTTTAAAAAAAATCAAACTATGAAAAATAAACAAAAAAAGAAGATTGTAGAACTCTACTATTAAAAATAATCAGAATTACTTCTTGTTTTAGAGAAGTTAGCATGATAATAACCTAATTCTATCTATTTTTAAGAAGTCACTATTAAGTTAACTTCTCTAAAACAAAAAGTGATTTTGATTATTTTTAATAATGAAGTTCTACAATCCTAATAAAACTTTTTATATATTTCTTTTTGTTTATTCTTTATATTTTAGTGTTTGTTTAAAGAGTACTTTAAATATAAAATTAAATAGAATTAGGCAACCAATTATACAGAAGCCTTCTTATAGATATGCAATAGCAAACAGTTACATTTAATTTCTCTATTAATCATTTTCTTGACAGATTATTCACCTGACATCATAAATCATATATACATATCTTCAACTAATAAAAATGCTAGTCCTAACCTCATATGATGTCAGATAAATAGCCTTTTGAGAAAATGAGAAATAGCAATGGCAAACAGGTGATATCTCCTTACTTTCTTAAATCTTCGCTTCTTTCAAATTGATTTAATATATGCTGTATATACTTCTTTCTATATTTTGCTTTAAAGCTATTAATTATCTCAGTATTTATCAGTTGGAGGTGGGTGGTAGTTTTGGGTGATAAAGTTTTAATTCGAATATTTGTTAAATGAACATTAGAGAGATTGAGAATTCTATAAGGATGACCAGTATTATAGTGACCCTTGCTATTTTGAGAAGCCTGCCTCTGTCCACAACCACACTTGCAATCATATTCATGACTATGCCTGTGACCATATTCGTGACTACATTCACGACCACATCTATGACCATGCTCATGCTTGCGACCACGCCTACGAGAAAAATTTTGCTCTTTTTGTTTATTAATATTATCAGCAATTAATCTTAGACAGTCACGCCCTCTATATATAGTTTTAGATGAGCTTGTATGGACTTCTTTATCTGATTTTTCACCTTCTAATCTATTGTCTGATTCTTCATCTTCTGATTCTTCACCTTCTGATTCTGCACCTTCTGATTCTTTATCTTCTAATTCTTCAACTTTTGATTTTTTATCGCTCAATTCTTTATCTAATGTATTTTGACTATTATTATCATTAGGATCATAATGACTCGTTGCACCATCAACTATCAATAAAATTTGCCAGTTTGCTAAACAAAATTTTTCATCAAGCTTTAATAACCATTTACTAAAGATATCAGTTTGCATCCAAGCTTTAAATTTGTATGATACTTCATAGATAAAGCATCATAATTTAAGTAAACTAAAGCATTAGAATTAATAGATGATCTAATTACCATTAGTTTTAATTTTTCAGTTCTAGTTGCATTTGCGGCCAGCATGACTGTAATATGTGCATGATTTTAAAGTAATAAATTATAAATTAAAATTATAAATATCAATAAATAAATCTATAAAGCTGTTATTTTTAGTGATAGAATCCAATTTTGATAGTTATTAATAATTAGAGATAGAAAACACATACTTATCAGTGCAAAATTCTTAATTAATATGACTAAGGATATAAAAATCACAATAGATGCCAATAATTATCTGTATTAAATAAGCACTTTGCCTAATAAATGCATAATGATATCTATTTATTATCGCTCTTTTCGATGCCAATTTTGCAGATCTTTTTTTTTGAGTGCAAGAGTCTTATAAGTTTCATGATTATATTATCCCTTAAATTGTAACACAGGCAAATTTGCCTGTGTTTATTTTTTTAAACTTTATTTTTTTAATAAAATTTCAAATATTAATTTTAGCATTATACTTTCTAATAAAAAAAGACTTTTAAAGATCTACTTTATCAACTTTATTAAAAAAAAATTTTTTAAATTATTAAAAAACTTTTGATTAATTAAAGTTTAAAGTTTGTATAATATTAGGATTTAGTATTAAAAAATTTTTTAGATTTTCTAAAATTTTATATGTTCCTAAAGCTAAAAAAAATTTTTGCTCTTAAAACAAGTATTAATTTTTATAAATAAATTACAAAATTTATAATAATTAAAATTATAATCCTTAATTCAAACTATAAAGTTGTATTAGAAACTATAAGTCTAAAATTAATATTTAAAAAGTTTGTTATAGATAAACTAAAAAAATTTTCTTTATAAAATTGTATATTTTAGGTTCATAAGTAATCTAAACCTTTTTCTTATAATCTAAAAATAAATACTGCAAAAAAGTAACTCTTATTTTTAAATATAATTGTACAAAGTTTTATTTAATTATTTTAGTTTTTTATAAAAATAAATCAAAGCCAAAAAGTGCAAAATGCAGGCAAATTTGTCTGTGTTCTATTATAATTTAAGGAATATACAATGCTATTATTAAGAGAACATTTACAAAAAAAATAATACAAAGTTAGAGTTTATTTGTAGCTGCAGTGAAATTATACCAAAAACAAATAATTTTATTAAATGATGTTAAAGAAATTCAAAAGCTAATAATTAGTTTCTATAATCATTATAAAAGATAAAATATAATCATATTTATTGTATATTTAAAATATTAATTAAGATTAAAAAAAAATATAGTATATAAAATGACTTCGAAGTAGAATTAATCTCCTCAAAATGCAAATCAATAGCACAAAATCCTGAACAATTTATAGACAAATAATATTTTAATTTGCTTATTTTAGACTATTTTTTTGTTAATCTTTTCTATTTATAGTAATTAGTTTGCTTAATTTAGACTTTTTTTTGCAGATCTTTTTATATTTAGTAATTTTTATAAATTGTTAGCTGTAGTGATTGTAGTCGATTTAGTTATAGTTGATAAAATCGACTTAGTCAACTAAGTTGACCGATTTTTTGGAAGATCAACTTAGTCAAGTCGATAGAATCAATTATATAAGCAATATGCAGTCAATCAAAATGCATCAAATATAAAAATATTTTCCAACTGATCTTTATTTTATAAAAAAAATTTGTACATAGGTTTATTGAAAAATCGTTATTTGAAGACAATAATACAAAAGCAACGCTTTAACTTTTCAAAATTTAGTAAAACCAAATTTGGCTTTAAATAAAGTAATGCCTTGTTTAATGATTATATGGTTCAATAAAGTATTTGTAAACTCGAACATATCGATATAGTTTAAATTTTTTGATTAAATTGAAACTTGTATAATACTGCATTAATATTATTTAAATAAGTTTTTTTTTTGGCTAATACCTTACAATAACTAAGAGTTTTGTATAGTTCATTTTTTCTTCCCAACAGATAATTTAGCCAAAACAACCCAAAGTGCTAGTTACTAACCTCCAAACGTTGCATCAATATAATGTATAGATGGCCAATATACATAATTACTCAAAGTAATTTTTTTTTATCAAAGATATAATAATAAAGCCCAAAAGTTTTATATATTATAAACATGGTTTAGCACATTCTACTTATACTTTGGAGTGTGGCGACTTAGTAAAGTTGGTAAGTTGTCACCCCTCCAAATGGCAGATCTAGAGTTCAAATCCCACTGATGACGATTTTGAAAAATAAGTTTTGTTTCGGTAACATTTATTCAACGATCAGTTGGATGTACTACTTGTAACCTTGGTACCACCATCTTGAATAGGAGCTTTCGGGCAAAGTTGTGTGATATCACACAAACAAAGCCAAGGAACCGGAATAATTGAAACCTATTTGGAAAGACCTGAGCAAGGAAGTAGTGAAGATCTTTGATGATACTGCAGAAGCCAGAAGCCCGGAAACCAGAGACCAAAGAATCGGACAAATAACCCTGGGCAAGAAGGGTTCATCAACCTGGCCGCCAGAGTCGCACCGGAGAAAAAGGTTCTATGCTACGGAATTAGAAACCAAAGAAAGGAAACCATCAGACACTTAAAGTCTAGGTATACCAACCTATCCGGGCTAACTGGTTTGGAAGTTTGGGAGGGATCGGTAT